CATTCTTTGGCATTGCCTTTCTTTGGGATTGGAATGAAAACTGACCTTTTCCAGTCCTGTGGCCACTGCTGAGTTTTCCAAATTTGCTGGCATATTGAGTGCAGCACTTGCACAGCATTGTCTTTCAGGATTTGAAATAGCTCAACTGGAATTCCATCACCTCCACTAGCTTTGTTCGCAGTGATGACAAATGATGTTAAAAACCCAGGTGAGGAAATGACTGAGGTTAAGTCAAACGCTCTGCTCCTTCTTCTACTTCCTACTATGTCTTGAGAAGAGCGTTTCGGTTGTTTCTTTACTTGTGAAACAGGGATTGTCATAGTACCTCCTTCTTAGATTTCTTGTGAGGATTAAATAGGTTAAGTAAAACCTAGAACACGTAACTGTCCTTGGTATTCTCTATTTCTCTTTTATTTATAATTTCTTACTTTTATTTATATTATCACCTCAATCTGAATACTGTCGATTGCCTAAAAGCCATCAGCACTGCCAATCATTTGTATTTAGGAAATGAGATTTTATCCTGCAGGACTCTACACTATTAAAGACGAAAATGTTAGAGACAACTAGTCCTAGACATAATTTAATCCATGATACATTGTCTGTCTTTTTTGGCCACGTGGCTTATGGGATTCCCTGAATGGGGGAATCAAACCCTAACCGGGGATCAAACCCAGGCGCGTGGTGCTGAAAGCAAGTAGTCCTAACCACTGGACCACCAGGGAATTCCCCATCTTTTTCTTTCTTTAAATAACAGCCACACCATCTCATAACTCTTTGTGGGGCTAAGTATACAGAAATAAGGATCTGAATCACACACTGCTATGCTGCAAAGAGCAAAAACATTAAGGATGAGACTGGGAATTCACCCCTCTCCATCTTGAGTGGGCCTCTATGCTGGATGGGAGGTCTAGTCCTCCAGCAGAAAAGACCCTACCCTAGAAGGCAAGTCAGAGATGCCACAATCAACCCAGCCACCATCACGTCATAGTCTTTCCTGCCTTCCCCCTTAGGCTGTTCGTGTGTATGTGTGTGCATGTATTAATAACCAAGGGCTTGGTTTGGTTTCGCCACTAAGTCATGTCTATCTCTTTTGCAACCCTGTGGA